GGGAAAAAATTTGGTAAAAAATGGTGATAATTTCGCTAAATATTGAAGATAATAAAAATAATATATTAGAAACGAAAGAAATAAAAAAAAAAAAAAAAATAACAAGAAGTGCAAATAATTAGTTAAGATCATTAAAATGGGAATATTTAGTTTCTGCATTTTTGCAGAAATGTAAATTTGAATGCAATAACTAACTATACAACATTAAGGTAAAAATTCCAAACATATTTACTGATATTTTATCAAAGTTGTTTGAAGATTTATGTCATTATTTTATAACATATTTTATAAAAACCACAAAATAATAACCTCATTAAATTCAAATTACTAAATTGAATCATTTTTTAACTTTGTGGGTAGTAGGATAAGACCACTTGTTATTTGACAATATAGAACATCCCAGCTTAAAATTACCTAATCATAAAGAAAAAGATTAAAACCAATCACTCAAAACCTAAACATATATCATAACAGAGATACCAAAAATTAAATATAAATTTTATAGAATTCCAATATAAAACATATAGGTAAGCAAAAAATGTGTTCAAAATTTTTGGTGYGTAGTAGAAATATTTCAAAATTATTTGTTATTATTATTATAAACTATAATAAAAAATTATAAACATACAGAACCTAAAATATTTATATAGAAGTATAATATCTATTAAGTATCAAGACATTTAAAAAGATTTCTTACTTAACAGTATTATCAAATGTTGAACATATACACTTGATCTTTAAGGTTGAAATTTAACAAAAGGTTTATACCACTTACAAATTATTACCTACTGCAATAAATTGTTTGAACTCACCTCTGAGTAATTGATTAGGTTTTAAAACACTAGCAAATCCAAAATCTGTGAGCTTTATATCCAGTGCATCGTCTAGCAAAATATTTTCAGGTTTAATATCTCTATGAACAACACCTTGTCTGTGGACATGTCGCAAGGCTTCAAATAATTGTCTCATTATATACCTAGTTTTTTTTTCAGTTAATGTAACAACACTAGTTAAATAATCAAATAATTCGCCATTTCTACAAAGTTCAAATACCAAAAATATGAATGTCTCCGACTCGAATACATCATGTAAATGTACTGAAATTAATTTTTAAAATATTAAATATTTAGCAATTAATATTAATACAAATTATATAATACTTACTAATATATTCATGTCCAATAACCATTCTTAATATGTTGATTTCTTCCAAAGTAGCTTCTCTGTTTTCGGGATCATTACTCAGGTCTATAATTTTAGCCGCAAATTCCATGCCAGTCTCTTTTTCTACGCATCGTCGTACAGTCGAACTAACACCTCTATTGAATAAAATCATAATTCAATAAATTGGTTGAACCATTGATCGTATCAATAACAATTTAATAAATAATAACACACCTCCCCAATATTTCTTTGGGTTCATATCTGGCATAAAATTCTTTGGCTGCATCTTTGTCAGGTAGTTCGTCATCTTTGTTGTCCATYTTTGCCAGTCGTTGATGTACACTGGATGTCTAGATCGGGTAAGTATTCAAAATTAATGAATATTAATATGGTAATGTATTATTATGGTGAATAGTGTATTCAACTTCGACAACCTGATTAAAAAAACTTGCACGGTCTGGTAGAAGTTCAAAGGTTTAAAAAAAATTAAAAATAAACCATAACCATAAGGTTGAGAAATGTAAAATCAAAAAAGAAAGAGATAAAATTATCAAATAAAAATGATAAGGAAACCAATTATAATTATTGATAACTTGATATCGGGTGTACTCAAATTGTGTAGGTATTAGGTAAATAATGAATAAATTATAATTATTATTATTAATTATATTAATTTATTAATAATTATAATAACGTCATCCGATATTACTTCCTACCTAAATCTCATATTGTAATATAACAATTTATTTATTATTACATTCAATATTGATAGTTCACACAAATCACACATCGTAATAAGTGATATGATAGGTAACATAAAACATTTAAATAAATAAAATCGATGAATAAAGGTGCCTATTATGAAAGTGTAAAACTGTAAAACAGTTTTAAAAATGAAAATTGTAATCACCATTAAAGACTAAGGTAGCTACCTACTTGTACAAATCATCAATAACTGTTCACGCAAATTGCATAACAGGAGAACCTAATGCCGCTTAGGTATAAATTATTAAGCAGGAGAATAATGAAATATTGAGTTTTTACAGTTTTGTTGATTTTAAAATTTTAAGCATTAATTTTGGTAATTGAATACGTAAAATAATTTATAAAACCTATCTGTAAGTATCTGACGGACGACTAACAA